GACATGCTGGGGACCAGGAGTCATACCCCCTTTGCCAGGCTAGATTCTCCACTGGAGGCAGGCACTGCCTCTATGGAGAAGCTTCCAGAAGGAATGTTCCCTGAGTTGAATCAGTCTGAGAAGAACGCAAACAAGAAGAGTCCAAGAATAGAAGAAGGAGAGCAGAGGTCGAGAGTTGAGGCCGACCCTTCTGTGACAGGTGGGCGCAAGGACCCTGTGGGGGGCGAGAGGGGACCAGAGGCCAGGAGTTAAGAGGAGACAAAGTAGGGGGCCCTGGCTCCCCAGGGCTGGGGCCACTAAAGATGTTGCTCTTGGTCTCCCATTCTACGTACACCTCCTTACTACACACAGGAGAATTGACATAGAGCCTCCAGAATGAAAATGAAATTGTTCTTAATAAAAAATGAGAAAGGGAAGAAAAAGCCCCTGCTCCTGTTACAGTCATTAGTCTCTGAGCATCCGACATCTCTTCCGGACGATAGAGTCTGAGCAAGACACTTAGCTTCTCTGAGCCTGGGGTTCCTTACCGCCAGGTCTCTGAAGCCTCTGGTCACTGCGGGTCAAGCTCTGGCCTGACTTCCCTCAGGCCAACACTGCCCTCTGGAGTCGCATCTCGGGCTGCCAGGGCTCTGGAGGACCCTCAGGGGAGGGAGTTCTTGTCTGCAGTGACTATTCTGTTCTCAGGGTCCAGCTCAACCACAGATTCCGCTTATTTCTAAGCCTCACTGACAGAATTCTGGAGCTGGAAGAGACTAAGGATTGTCTGGTCCCGCCCCTTCATTTCAGATGAGAACTGATAGAAAATGGCATAAACAAATCCCTTCAAGTCACAGGGAAACCCCATCAGCTCACTGCGTCCCCCACCTGGCGCCCCCTGGTGGACATGAACAAGTTTAGCCAACATACTAGTCAGGTTCTTTTTCTCAGTGAAAATATGTACACTTCAAGTTTATGAGCATTGAGTAAAACACACTATTTCTGTGGAATAAAACTACCAGACTACTATTTTTTTAATAAAAATTTATTTTATTTTTATGCGTACAAGAGCTGGGATGCAGGCCAGAGGTGGGGGGGGGGGTGCTGAGAGGATTCACCAGAGACAGAGGGGAATAGAACAGGCAGATAGATCAAAATACACTGCTGAGAGGAGCAGTGGGAGAGTCAGGAGAGGTCTGCTGTACCATGTGGGTAGCTCCCTGGCGAGGGATTGAACTCGTGCCGCAGTGGCTGCCATTAGCTTCATAGGTTGCATCTTAACCCCTTTGCGCCACCAGGGAGGCCCCGGGAGGTCCAGACTGTACTGCTTCTTAAACCCTTCTAAGGGAAGGATATGGAAGTAACTAATCTGGAGAGAATTCAAAGAACACAAGGAAATGAAGGCAAAGTGAAATGACTGTGGAGACACGTAAGACCCTTAAGAATAAATGGAGAGGGCCTCCCCGTGGCGCAGCGGTTGAGCACTGGGTTGCGAAGCTGCCCGCAGCCTCTGCAGCGCCGGTTCGATCCCCGGCTGCTCCTCGGCCACCGGAGGAGGGTCCCACACTGGGCACAGACCTCTCCTGCCGCCCGCTGCTCCCCTCATGCTCCCCTCATGCTCCCCTCAGCAGTGTGCTATGGTCCTTCTGCCAGCTCTGCTCCCCGCTCTAGCTCTGGTGAATTTTCTCACCCTCCCGCACCTCTGACTGTGCCCAGTGCTTGTATAAATAAATAAATAAATAAATAAATAAATAAATAAATAAATAAATAAATGATCTTAAAAAAAAAAAAAAGAATAGGCAGAAGGACCGAAGTACACTGCTGAGGGGAGCAGCAGGCGCGGCAGGAGAGGTCTGCGCACCATGTGGGACCCTCGCTGGTGGCCGAGGATCAAACTGGCGCTGCAGAAGCTGCAAGCAGCTTCACAGCCCAGCCCTCAACCGCTGCGCCACCGGGGAGCCCCCATATCCAATATTTTAAACCATTGTTATGTCTATAACAATAACACAATTTTTTTTTAATATTTATTTATCCAAGAACTGGGATTTATTCAGAGGCACGGGAGAGTGAGAGAATTCACCAGAGACAGAGCAGGGAGCAGAACAGGCACTGACAGAAGACACTGCTGAGGGGAGCAGCTGGCGAGACAGGAGAGGTTCGCTGGCCATGTGGGTTTCTCCCTGGCGGACTGGGAATCAAACCCGCGCTGCAGTGGATGCAGACAGCTTCACAGTGCAGCACTCAACCCGCTGTGCTACCAGGGAGGTCCCAGTAACAAAATTTTTTTTAAAAAAAGAAAATTCATATTATAATAAGAGATTTACCATTCAGTCCCTCTCAAAAACACAAGGCGAGGGCTTAAGTTCACCTAGGAAATTTGTGATTAAAAAAAAGGAATTAGTGAAACAGAAAGGAGGTAGCAGGACAAATGGAGAAGCATGTATGAAGGCATAGAAGTGGGTGTAGCCACCGAGGGCTTGAATCACTGCATTTAGGAGTACAAAAAGGAGGGGAGGTTAAAGAGGCCAGATTTTGGGGCTCTGTTTATTTGTCAGCTAAGCAGAGCTAAGGTGGCTTCCCCAACACTTTTTCTGTGTCGTCTGAGCTCTCAAGTTACTTCCATAAGGTGGCATTTATTTCTGGGGGTCCTCGTTCCCTCCCCTTTTTCCCCAGCTTCTGGGCAGGCAGGCAGGAGACTCTCAGACACAGTCCACACCTCATACCTAAAGCAACGTTCAGTAATTAGACACTCCTGGGATTTTTGTGGGTAAAGACCAGAATTGGAGCCTCTCCTCCTTTGGGGCTGAGGTGACTCAGCACCTTTTCTTTCAGGAATTAGCCTCCCATTTGCTCCTGGGTCAAGGCTAGGGGATAGACAATAACACAGGCCACTCCCACAAAACACTGTAGACAACAAAAAAGTTGGGTTTTGGTTTGTGATCTGTTCAGTCACTCTCTACTCTGTAATTTGTGAATCCAAATCATTTACATTTAAGGTAAGTTATTAAAAGTATTTAGTAAGTTATTATAAGTATTTAGGGCCTCTCTGGTGGCACAAAGGGTTAAGCACAGCACTGTGAAGCTATCCGCAGCCTGTGAAGCTATCCACAGCCTCTGCAGCTATCTGCAGCCTCTGCAGCTTGAGTTAGATCATCAGCCCTCCAGGGAGCAACCCACATGGCTTAGCAGACCTCTCCTGACTCACCCGCTGCTCTCCTCAGCAGTGTATTTCAGTCAGTCTGCCTGTTCTGCTCCCTACTCTGTTTCTGGGGAATTCTCTCACCCCTCACATCGTTGGCCTGTACCCCAGCTCTTGTATGCATAAATAAATAAAACTTTGACAAAAAATAAGTATTTAGTACCATTTTGTTATTTGTGGTTTTAGTGTTTTTATAATTGCTTTTGTTGGTCTCTTATTCTCTTGTGCTTTGACAGCTTCCTTTTGAGTTATGTTTCGATTGCCTTTCAATTTGTTTATTCAACAGGTTTTTGTTTTGAGGTTATCATGTGGTTTACTCAGATGGTTCTGTACTTGTGACCTATGGAACAAATTGAGATCAAAGACCCCAGAGGGATGTTGGTCTGGTACCTGAGTTTGTGCTCACCAATTTGTAAATCTAATACCCCCCCCCACTTCCTCCCAGTTAAATGTCTTCATTTAACTTTAACCTTGTGTTTTTCTCAGCAGCATCTGCATGTGGTGCACGCTCTCGATCAACCTATTTAGCACTTCAGAGCAACGTCAAAACCCCACTGAAAAACTTTTTCCTTATTTTATTTATATATTTTTTATTAATTAAATTTTTTTATTTTTTACATCATTGTTCATTTTCAAACAATATTTGCTTGACTTTTTCCTTGTTTTAAACTCTTTTCAGCTAACTGTTCAGTATTCAAGGAAATTATAAGATAAAAATACTGTTATTTAAAGAAGAGTATTTATCAAGAGCAGAAACACACACACACACACACACACACACACACACACGGTGGTACTAGTCCCAGATTTTTATGAAATCTGATAGTCTTCAGATCTTCAAAAAAAAGTTCTCCACTTTCCACAAGGGACTATGGTGATGGTTCATGACTGATATGTTGGTGGGAGATTTATGGGGACTACACTTGAGGGGAGATACTAAATACTATAAAAAAATGAACAATGTAAGAAAATTAAAAAGTTTAATTTTAAAAAAAGTTCTCAACTCTCATCCATCATCCATGATTAACTAATCATTCATTTGAAAAATATTAAAATATCAACCAGAAACCAAGAACTGTATTTACCTCTGGGTCTATAGTTGTGAACAAAACAGAAACAATCTTTGTCCTCATGGAGCCAAAGGTCTTGTGAAGGAGATGAACAATAAACAATCACTAAAAAATATATACATGATCACAAATTATAATGCCTTGACACAATTAAGCTGGATACAATGATTATGAACAAGAGGAAAGATCTACTTAAATACAGTGCTCAGAAGGCTGCTCTGAGGAGATGAAATTTAAGTTGAAGCTGGACTTTCTGGGTCCATCTGCTTACATGTTAACAAAAAAGTAGCATACATGCTCAGAATGATAATTTTATTAATCTTCTATGTTTCAAACCATCTAACTTTTTTAAAAATTATGCTTAATGAGATATGTTTTACATGTTTACATGTTATGTTTTACAAATTTAGGTTCACACCACTACAAATGTGTTATCATACCGCAACCACTAACAAATCATCAGAATGTTCCACTATTGTCCACTGAGTACCCTCCTTGCTTCACTCCTACCTCCCCTCTTCCAGTCCATCCAGTGTTTTTTAAATAAAAAAGCTTCTCTTCTTTCTGAACATTTTTAAACACCCTGAAACAAGCATAAATACAGAAGATATAATGGTTTCTTGGTAATTTCAAGCTCAGTTTGCAAATGAAGTAAGTTTTGTGCCTTAATCAGTATTACGGTCTATCTCTTTCACCAGGAGATGTTGGCATTGGGTCGAGATCCTTGTAGAGACTTCTTATCTCTGTGTCTCAAAGGTGAGCCCTTCTCATATTTCTCCTCTTGGTTTCTCCACAAGTCAAGGTCAAATCCCCAAGGCTCCCAGGATCAGAAAGAGAAGAAACCCTTTCTCCGGCGAGCAGGTTAAGAAGGAGGCTGGATGAACAATGACCACAGGTTAGGAATTGGGATGAAGGGATGAGAAGGAAAGGAATGGGAAGTAGGGAAGAGGGATTTTTGAGGAAGAAACATTGGTGGAATGTTCCCTTTTAGGAAGCTGATCTGTGGATGGAGCTGAAATGCCCTCTGGACCCCACAGAAAGAAGAATATTCGAGTCTGAGGTCAATTGCTGTGTCTCCTTGTGTCCCGTTGCACTGGCATGGGATACACCTTAATACTTGTCAGCTCTGCATTTTATATCTCTTACATGCTGCTTCAGAAATGCAGAGAAAGGTAAGGAAGATATAGCTCATGGTTCAGTGGAGATGACAGACACGTACACAAAGACTGTGATGTGCTAGACACTCTATAAAGTCATTTATATAAATGTCCAGAAGAGAAAATGGTTAAAAAGTTGGTGGATCCAGATTATGAGGATTGTACCTGCAACCCCTGAGGGGGGGAGGGTATCTTCCTGAGGCTGAAGGTCTTGGGAGAGAGAGGAACAAAAAATAATTAAACCAACACCATGTCTTCAATGACTAGAACAAAGGGCACATTAAAAATAGTCTGTATGGGCCTCCCCTGGTGGCGCAGCGGTTGAGCGCTGGGTTGCGAGGCTGCCCACAGCCTCTGCAGCACCAGTTCGATCCCCAGCCGCCGGCGAGGGTCCCACAAAAAAAAAAAAAAAAAAAAAATAGTGTGTAAATGCATGTTGCTTAAAAGAATGAAGACGTACCAAAATATTTATACCTTAGGTAGTAGGAGAACTTCAAGGGGTTTTAAGTGAAAAAGTAATGTGCACATTTCTTTCACTTAGAATTTGCCCTTGGCAGCAAGCTCAGGAGGATGATTGGGAAAGTAGTGAGGAGTCTGGTTGGTGGCGTCCACGTGAGGAATATACAAAAGTGTGAGTACTGTAGGTGGTGGTGGAAAAGAGGGGGGCTCTTAATGTTGCCCAACTTTCTGCCTTGGGCAACAGAAGGAACACAAGGGGAGTAGGGAGGGGCCTGGGCAGGGGACAGCCTTGGACCTGAGAAGGGCATGACCTAGAAGGGGCCGGGAGAGAGCAGTTCGGCTGGAGGAGGAAGCACGTACAGGAGAATGGAATTGAGGATCAGCCCTTGAACTTAGTAGTCAGGATCCCATTGGGGACGAAACATTTGCAAAAGATTGGAGTAAATGATTGTGAAGAATTAAAGATAAGGAGCAGAGATCAGTGGGAAGAGAAGAGCAGGGCATATTTGGATGAAGATGGTGGAAGTGGGAGAGGCCACCCTTGGGCACCAAAGGAGCATAGCCCTGGGCCAGGTCAGTTCCTGACAGAAGAGAGACTGAGATTTCTCAGATGGTACAGTCAAGAAGCCTGGACTCCTCCCTGGGAACTCTGCAGGGATGAGTGAAGCTGGGGGAAGCACCTTCCCTGAGCAGTCCCAAAATGAAGCCAATTCCCAGCTGAATCTTTGCAAGCCCTTACACAGGAAGTCTGGGCCTGACAGACTGTGGACAGAAGCCCACAATGGTGCCCCAGAGCCCGTGTCTGCACCCAGAGACACACCCTGCTGCAAGCTCATCCTGCCCTCTTCTCCTGTGCCCACTCTTAGAAATCTGAGGAAGGCAGACATGATATTCAGGGGCTGCTATGGAGGAGTGTTACCTGAGCAGAGGGAGCTGGCAAGGACAGAGCTGGAGCTCTGGCTGACGGGGTTCCTGGTTGTGCAGTTCAAGCTGTCACTGCTCCCAGATTTCCAGGAGACTCTCAGGGTGGTTCCCCCGTGGGACACAACTGTTCCCAGGCCTTGAGGTTCCCATTTGTACTGAACATCCTCTCCAGCATGTTTCAGGGAGCAGATCAGCGTGAGGGAGCACATTCCATTCTCCATGATCAGGGAGCTGGCAGTGATGTTGGGCTTCTGCAGCCGCTCTATGCCAAGAAGAGAAGGCGCAGCTATGAGAAGGCTCTGGTCCAGCCAAGCAGGGAAGAGACAAGGGTCAAGCTCAAATGTGGGTACCCATCACCACAGACACACAGGCCTCACCATAAACGCGCAAGGTGAGATCCTTGGTGATGTTCCTTGGAGGATTCCGCAGAGTTACCCAGGCTCTGTAGGTGCCGGAGTCCTGCAGCCTCAGGGGGCTGATCTGAAGAGAGTAGCCATGGTCGGGGGTGCTAAGTCGTCCACTGTAGGGCCCCTGAGTGCCAGAAGCCAGGATGGGCTTGCCTGCCTCTCTGGGTTGCAAAACAGTAAGGAGCCTTCGAGAGCTCCAGGTAACACTTTCTATCTCCTCCCCAACTGGGACTTCCAGGGTCAGAGTGGCTGACTCTCCCAGAGTGCCAATCACTGTCTCCCCCACTGTGTACACTGTCAGGATTCCTGACCCTGCAGACAGAGAGAGAACACCACAGCTTCAGTATCAGCTCTTCCTAGCTTCCGGGAGCAGCCACAAATCCCATCAAGCTCCTCCTGCCCAAACCCCTCCAGTCTTCCTATCAGTTCTGATGGGCCTTTCGCCTTTCCCCTGCCACACCAGCCCAGACTGGGACAAGAACTGATTTCAACACAGCCCCACACTTGGCGACCCATGGTCTTCTCTCAAAGGTGCTAGTCCCTCTCCCCGGGGCCTGTAGGAGCAAGACCCCTTTCCCTGCCTTGCATTGCTCCAGAGCTGCTGCACAGATAAGGGCTCAGGGTCTAGGTACCTGCGCAGGAGGGCAGCACCCTGACGGGCACGGAGCTGCTGTTACTGACTGGGTTCTTGACCACACAAGTAAAGATTAGAACATCATCCCCAGGCCTCGAGGAGACACTGAGGACAGACCCTTTGCCAGACACGACAGTCCGGGGCCCCAGAGGTGTCCAGCTGTATGACACAGAGTCTCCTCCGCCTTCTGCTTCACATGTCAAGATGGTGGTGCAGTGTCCATTCTCACCGACCCTGGAGCTCATTTTGACGTGGGGCTGGGTCACCAACTCTGTGTGCAAAGGGGAGCAAGTTGAAGCCAGGTCAGGTACTCTGGGCCCCTCTTTTTAGGGAAGAATGCATAAGGCATTGCTGCTGAGCCCCTGTGTCACATTGAATCCACATATAGAACAATAAAGGCAGGATTTGCCCATATCTGTTCTAGATCTTGGGATTTGCAATGTCCCTTAATATCTCATCGATTTCCAGAACAAATTGCATACAGGTGAGGGAGGATAGGCTACTTGATAGGCTCCGAGAGCTTAAAGTAGGTTTTCCAGAGTCTCATCTATGAAGTAATGACTCCAAGACCCAAAATCAGTGAATACAACCCCAAAGCCTGGGTTTCCACCCTTGCTCTATGTAAAGGTTTACTTCATCCAAGCGTGATGTTTGTGTCATAATCTTTCCCAGCAGGGAGCATGCACTGGCTTCAGATGCTGAGCAGGCGCTGGGAGGGTCTGGCCTAGGCCTTCTATGACATACCTACTGCCTTGTACCCTCTGGGCAGGGGAGGGGGTCTTCCACTACTCATGGCCTGGTCTTGGGCCCCTTTTCTTTCAGGGCCGAGATCCAGGGTCTTGGTTGCTCTTCCCTTCTCCACTACAAGCTGTCTGTCTCAGCATGGCTCCTGCCTCAGCTGCCAGGCGACACCCCCCATCTCCTTTGTAGCTGCCCCAAGAACACAATTTTTTTTTTTAAATTTCTTTAAGGAGCTTGATCATAGTGTTCCTGTGATCTATGTCAGGCTTTACAAAGCCCTTTCACAGGAAATGTATTCTCACAGGGCAGTCTTCCTATTTTAGCCAAGGGGAAGCTCCTACATTGTGGCAAAGTTCTATGTGGTTCACATGCCGGAAATCTATTTCCTGCCCACTGCAAGCCCAGGGGTTCCTCTGCATTGCTCTAGGGTGTGGCCCAGGCCACACTCCTTTCCGTGTTTCTATTATAAGCACACGCTAGTCCTGTAATAGAGGGAAACTTGTGAACATTACAAAAAGGGACATGGGAAAAAACCATAAAAATGACAAGACCAACAGCCCCCAACACCCATTGCCACCCCCAAAAAACTCACCATAGACCCACAGTCTGTACTCCCAGGTGTGGGTCACTGGGGAGTCCCTCAGATTAACATGGGCACGGTAGGACCCGGCATCCTCTCGGCTCAGGTTGCTGATTTGCAGGGAGCTTCCTGGGCCCACGGCTCTCACACGACCCCGGTACCGGGCCTCTATCTGTTCAAAGGTGTCTGGCCTTCCAGCTTCTCCCAAGGTGACCGTGGCTATGGTCTTGGCTGCTGAGCGGGACTTCCAGGAGACACTCTCCACCCGCTGGCCAGGCAGCAGCTGCAGGGGCAGAGTGACAGAGCCCCCTAGGATCCCAGCTACTACCACAGGGGCCATGTCATTTCTGGAAGCCCCTCGCCCTGCAGACACAGAACAGAACCTTCAGAGACGGGCTGATTCACCAACTGTCCTGAGAGCAAGTCACATAAGAGATTATTAGTTCCATTTTACAGATAACGAAACAGACCCAAAGAACGTAGGTGCTTTGCTCAAGGCTCCATACTGGTTGGTGTGAGAACTAGAACACAGTCAGCATGTGGTCCTTCATGCCAAAGGGGTCTTCTTGGTTTTTTGCATGAATTAATCAACATATAAGGAAATAACCACATGCAGACTCAAAGTGGACTGTGAGTAAGGAGAAGCCCAGGGAGCTGCCTGTGGGATGATCTCCCATGACTGAGTCACTCTTGCCCATTGAGTGGGTAGGACCACAGTTCACCCTGCCCAGCTGCACCCACAGCTGCCCAGCTCACCTCCACAAGAGCAGTGGCTCTTAAGGCCCAGCTCTGCGCTGTCACCTTGTGGGAGCCCCAGCTGATCGAGCCCTATATTTGATCTGACCCTGCGTCCCCCAATTGCCCTCAACCTGTGCTAGTGGCCTGCATTGTGGCAAGTGCTTACTTCATTCTCCCTCATATGAAGAGCTGTGTTGTGTGTCTTCTCCAGGGGTTCATGAGTTCCCCTAGTTGAGGAGAGGAGTGAGGAGGGGATTAGCATCTGAGGAACAAAGCAAAGTAAGGCCGTGGAGCCCGTGGCTAGAAGTGAGGTGCATATAGAAATTCCTGGCTTGAATCCTGTTGTGGATTCAGTGAGAGGAAAGAGGCTCAAAGAGATCACCCAGACCATGAACGCTGAATGGCAGACACCATGGCCAGAGCATTAGATGCATGACTTTATTTACTTTATTTACTTTTTTTAATTAAAAAAAATCAAATCCCACAACAGTAGAAACAAGTTTGTAAGGTAGGTGTTCTTATTCCCACTTAACAGAAGCAGAACATGGCACTAAAGAGGCTTAGGGAACTTGCCCAAAGCTAGCAGCAGCATCCTGATGAAAACATCTGTCCCCAAAGCTGTACTTGGTTGACCCCTCCCACTGCCATATCCTCCCTGCATTCCACTGACCCCACCCCAACACACAAGAGGCCCAATGGATGTTTCCAGAATTGAACTGAGGAAGTGTGAACAGTTCTTACAGTAAGATCTAACTTAACCATATTTTTGGTTGTATGCCCAAGAGATGGCTTCACCAACAGTGACCCCCTGACTGGGATCCCTTGAAGGAAGGAAAATTCATTTACTCAGTGTGGAAAGAGGAACTTGGGGATGAGGGCAACTTGACAGAAATCTGGCGTTTCAGTTTCAATTCTGTAACTTTGAAACACGAGTTTTTGAGGATTTCCTGGTGCTCTGCTACATCCCCACAGCTGGGTGGTGAGAGTGTCATCGGTGCCACGTTCTCACATTGCCAGCATTGCCAGCCGTGTGCCCCAAGAAGCCGCCTAATCTCTCTCAGCCTCAGCCCATCACCTGCTTCATCTAACACCCAACATTGTTGTGGGATTTGATTTTTTTTTTTAATTTAAAGCACGTTCTTTACAAACTCCTGGGTTTTAAACACATCTAAGAGATTTGTCAGCAGGCTCGGGGTCACTGAGGATGGAAGAGGGACAACCCCAGGCAGTGGCTCAGACAAGCCATGCCAGCAGGCTCCCCCTGAAGGAGAATGGACAGGGAAACTTGAATAGCAGGCTGAGAGCATCAGTGGCCCCTCCAAAGCGTTTCTGAAGTGGTCTACTGTGTGACCTCAGGTGCAAGATTCGTCACCCCTCAGGCCCTTGGGGGTGAGGGAGTGAGCTATAAGAATGGCCACCCATGTTGAGGTCCCCTAATGAAGTTACTCAAAGGACATGGAAGGCCCAGGATGAAGGTGCCCTCAGGGCCTGGCAGGAGAAGCAGGAGGGGACAGAAACAAGGGGACCCTGTATGAGATGGAAGATGCAGATGAGATCTCTGAACTGGCTGTGGTGGATGCTTTATCTCTGCCCCACCACCAGCCTCCAGAAACACCCATGCTCCTTGTGATTCATGAGAAAGGAAATGTAAGTGTGATAATCACAGTGTGGTTCTGCCTGGGCTGAGATAATAGTGCATGTTTGCCTGCCTCCTGTCTGTCTGTCTGTCTGTCTGTCTGTCTCTCTTTCACACACACACACACACTCACACACACACACATTCCTAGGGAGACAGTTCAGGGAAAATTGCCCATGGATAGAGAGTTAATGGAGAGAGAGGGTGCCTCGGGGTGGGGGTGGGGCAGCCTTACCCAAGAAAAAGCCAAGGAGGAGCAAGGACCAGGGTAGAGAAGTGCCCATCACTGTCACCGACACCGGCCTGCCTCACAGCGCATGTGTGATATCCAGACGCTTCCTGTTTTAATAGTCATCACATGAATCACATGTCATTCTAAGCCAAGGCATGCACATTAAGGGACATAAGAAAGAAATGAGTGAGGGGCAGCAGAGTGGGTTACTTCAAAACCAAAGCTCACCTGTCACAGCCTTGCTTTCAACTCTGGGAGCTCCCTGCTCTTATTGGCAAAGGTCAGAGTGGCAGTTCGGCTGGATGAGGTCCTTTGGGCTCTGCTGCATCCTGCCAACCTTTTAACTTCATTTTCCATCTGCAGGTTTCACATCTGGGATTCCATTCACGGCAGACCACATCTGGAGTCTCCCCATGCACACCATAGTATGTCTGAATTGCTCTCATCCCTACCTCACCTGACATCCTCCCATCCCCTGAAGTCATCGCCACCCTAGGAAAGGTTCCCCAAAACCCCAGACTGGGACAGGTGCCTGCTCTGGTCTCTTGATCCCTCTGAGTCCTAACACTCTCCCAGCACTCTTGGCCCCTCAATGGCACGGTCTTCCATTTCCCCCCTCTAGTTCCTAGTGTAATGACAGCACATAGTAGGGCCTGGTTTCTGTATACAGTCCACATGCAGAGAAGGTTAAGCCCATATTTACCCAAGGACAAAAGAATCAAAGGCAAGAACTTTTGGCTGCAGCTCATTTAGCAGAGAAACGGGGCTGGAAGCACAAGGGGGCAAGGCCTTTGGCAGCAACTCTCCCTCCAGCCACGAAGGACTAGGTCATGTTTTGCGATCTGGCTCTGTTGGTGATGTGGGTGCCTGAATTGTGTGGAAAGCACCTGAACCATGAGCGGATGGAGGAGAGTCAAGCTGGACAGGCCTGAGCTCCCTTAACCACCCACCTCCCCAAACCACACAGAGGCCTTGCTGAGACGTGCAGACCACTGGCACCTCCATGAAGCTGTTACCATGACCGGTGCCTCCTGTCAGCCCCCTTCCAGCTCCCACTTTGACAGACATCTCCCTGCACTGCCCAGGTCTTCTATGTGGGGAGCCAGGTGCCCAACAAGACCTGGAGAGAATTCATGTTTGCATTCAAGTCTCCAATGATCTCTCATTGAGACATCCTACGGGTCCCTTGGTCCTCATGTGACTGCCTGGGGAATTAGACACTGGTCCCCTCCCTACTTAAAATGGTCTCCTGTCCTGGACTCGCAGCACCACCCTCAGCAGCCCCTCCCCCCTCAGACTCAGCCTGCATCCGAGCATGCAGACGTGCAGCCATCCCTCCCTGCATCACCGGGCAACCCCAGAGCCACAGAGGCCGATGTTGGGAACTGGGACTCAAGGACAAAGCATATTGTTCACAGGCTGGTGGAAGAGTTGGTCGTGGAGCTGCCGGGGCCACCGTGCTTCCTGCCCTGGCCAGCAAAGGAGCCCTTACATCCCTGCCCGGGCATGATGTTAGCCCTGCCGTGGGAGGCCAGGCGCGGAGGAACACACAGCCCCTGTGCCAAGTGCATCACCTCAAACTCATGTCATTCCAAGTTCTTACTGCAATTAATGGATTTAAGTTGAATCTGTGTCCACTATGGTCACAACCTCAAAGGTCATTTCAGGGATATTTTCTTTGCTGAGCCTCAGTTTCCTCATTTCTAAAATGGGGAGAATAAGAGTATCCAGCAAGGTTGATTGACGTTGTAAAAAAGAGAGCACAAAACCCCACGGAAAGTAATTTTTAAGTGTTAGTGATTATTTTATTATTATCGGTGTCTTTGACTCCTCCTCCCATCCAGGCTGCCCCGTCCTCATGCTCGCAGTGGTGCTCCTTCAAGTTCCCTATTCTTCCCCTCTGCTCTGTCCAGCCCTCCACCCACCTACTCTGCTGCTGGTTGAGCTTCCCGGAGGCCCGAATCCTGCCGCAGCTCTGCTTCCAAACACCTCTGTGTCCTTGCTGCCTTTAGTCTGATGTCTTAGTTTATTCACAAAAGTCCACGTCCTGGATGCCTTATCAATGACCAAAATTACTTCTCACACTTACACAGACTGGGAACTTGCTCCCTGGCACATAAGAGGCTCCTCCTGTGTCCTCACACAGAGGGTGGGGTAGAAAGCTCAGGGCGGGACATCTCTTTGGAAAGGGCATTAACCCCAATCACATGGCTCCCCTATAGCCTAGTCACCTCCCAAAGGCCCCACCTCCTAACTCTGTCACACTAGAGGTCAGAGTTTCAAATACGAATTTGGGGAGGGCACAAGTGTTCAGTCCTTGGCAGCCGGGTGACAAGGCCCTTTGTCTGGGCTGTGCCAGCCTCTCCTGACCACACATCCCGGAGTTCCCTCTAGACGGCCTGCTCCCAGCACACAGAGGACTCGCTCTCAGGGTCCCATGACTTGAGATACGACCAGCCTCTGAAGAGTCTCCTATGGACACAGCCCATGTCCCCTCCCAGACTTCCTGCGTTCACATCCTTAGTCACTATAAACTCGACAGAAGCTACTTAACTTCAATTCCCCCTCTATAAAATGGAGATGAGAGACAGACAGAAAGAGCGAGGAGATGGAGAGGCAGAGAGAGCCCGAGGTGAAAATTCAGCCTCTAACCGAATCTCATCCCTCCTGCCACGTTCTACTCACATCACATCTCTCCTGCCGCATTCTACTCACCGGAAGTCTCTAAACCACCCCCCAGCCAAGAAGAGGTGATGACACAGGAACACGAGTACCAGGAAGTAGAGCTCTCTAGGGACCATTTTTAGTGACTCATTTAGGAACCAAGACGCCTGATGCTGAAGCCAGCGGTCGCCAAGATCAGTCTGCAAATCCCATGAAGGCTCTGGATAAACTTGAGAACTGTGATTTCCAACACAAGTGAGCACGTAAGAGGAGTGTGTGGTGCCAGCAACAGATGCAGACACACACACACACACATACACACAGTGTAAGTACTTCCTCCTTCAGGCTGATCTGAAAGTACATCATCGCAATGGGGCCAAGAAGACACACAGAGGCCTGGACTGTGTGGCCATTCAAGCCATGGAAGAGTCAGCCACACATCTTCTCTCCCTTCCTGTGGACCCCTGTCCTCTTCTTGTTCATGGGTAAGTCCACACTGATCATGTCCCCTTACTGCAGTGTTCTCTGGTGCTGCTCACATTCACTGCTGGTAACTTCTCTCTTTGCAGTAATTATTACACCGGTTCCTCCTTATCCTGAGCTCTGTGTGTGTGTGTGTGTGTGTGTGTGTGTGTGTGTGTGTGTGCGCGCGCGCGCGCGCGCGCTTCTGGACTCACAGCGTGAGCAGGTGACATCGTGGCCCAGTCTCAAACAGCTGGGCTTAGACTATTCCTCTAACTCACATTTTCCTGCTAATAAATGTCAGGTTATAACTGCTCCCTGTACAATGTGTTTCCGCAGAGAGATTCAGGAAATCCCTCCAGCGATAATTGCTTTGACTGTAATTCCTCAGTGAGGTAGAACTGCAAGAGCTTCTTTCTACTCCTGCCTCATTTTCCATTTATGCTGGATGCTGGTGACTTCTCTAGGGTTGGAAAAAGAGGGGTGGAGGTGTGATCTGGTGCCCTGGGCTAGGTGTCCTTCATATGACTGTTATTTCTACCCAACATCTTCCCACATGGAGGCCCAAGTCCTGCCAGTTTCTAAGAAATTAAGCGTGGTGTGCACCCCTCCCTCTGTTCAGCAGACAGAACTGACCCCGACCCAGGAAGGCTGTCAGCCCCAGTCTCCCTCTGTGGGACTGGCAGCTTCTTTCCCCAAGGCCTCTGGGTAGAAGAAACATGTAGCACAAGGGTCCTGAGAGGAGGTGGGGTGGGCCAGAGCGGGGTGCAGTGGGGTGATTTCTAGAAAAGCTTCTGGATATGTGGAAGGGTATAAGGGCCTAGTTCTAGTCACTTCTTTACTTTCAATTTCATCTTTGCTTACTAAAGAAATGTAAGAAGCAGGGGCCTCCCTGGTAGCGCAAGGGACTAAGTCTTAGCACTGAGGCTATCCGCAGCCACTGCAGCACAAGTTCTGTCACCGCCAGGGAGCTGACCCACGTGACACAGGCACCTGACTGGCCTGCTGCACACCTCAGCAGTGTGTTTCAGTCAATCTGCCTGTTCTGCTCCCCACTCTGTCTCTGGTGAATCCTCTCACTCCCGCATCTCTGGCCTGCACCCCAGTTCTTGTATGAATAAATAAATAAATCTTAAAAAAAAAAAACAAAAAAGAAGAAGGGCTTTTTATATCCCTGTCCAACTTTGCAGGTGTTTCTTGATTTTGTTGGCTGAATCTGAGTTAACTTCATCCAATGTCAGCTTAGCCCCAGAGGAGTGACAGTGAATTTCAAAGAGCTCAAGATAAAGCTGTTTCCCTAACAGGTTCCACTGAGCAAGGTGACCTCAGCCTCACTGTGTAGGGCTAGAAGGGAGTTTCTTTGATGCTTTTGTGGCTCTAAGGAATTGTTTCAGGAACACAGGAGACAGTGGTAGAAAGTCTCCCTGCTGGGTATCAGGAGCATTTGTTTTTTGTCTTTTGTTTTTTTGTTTTAAAGATTTATTTATTTATACAAGCACTGGGTATAGTCAGAAGTGCGGGAGGGTGAAAGATTTCACCAGAGACAGAGCAGACAGCAAAATAGGCAGACTGACGAAGCACACTGCTGAGGGGAGCAGTGGGCGGCAGGAGAGGCTACGTGCCATGTGGGACCCTCTCCCAGTGGCCGGGGATTGAACCGGTGCTGCAGAGGCTGCGGGCAGCTTCACAACCCAGCACTCAACCACTGAACCATTGGGGAGGCTCAGTATCAGCGACATTTGAAGTTAAGTCCTTGTTCCTTCATTTACTAGCTGTGTGAGCCTCTATTCCTTAAGTGTAGAATGCAATTAGCAAGATTGTTCTAGATTCAAGATGATACCTATAAAGTGCTTACACCCAGTTGATGGGGGCCGTGATAGTATAATCACAGTTAAGTATATTATTCGGCAACCATATACAGATGGGCAAGTCAAATTTGTTAACACAATCTTTCAGCTCCTTTGATTACTTGTCAGAGGGCGTGGTTTAGCATGAGATGGATGATACCTGGCCTCCTGTCTACACTGGGAGCTGGGTAGCACCATCCACTGCAACAGGATCCTCCCCATCAAAACCACAGCCTGCTCTCCCACTGGCATTCTGTAAGTGTCAAGCACTTTATATACTTAGATGTGAGGAGACATGAGGTCAAAACACAGATGCACCCAGGCAGGACCCTGTACCTCTGGGGGTCCGAAATATGGGACATTGTCCACTCTCCGGGGCATCAAGCACATGGAATCTGGGCCCGACAACTGACCAACCTGTCATCCCAGTCAAGTGGTTCAAACTGTACATTTCACCTCCCCATCTGTAAAATGGGCTAATTATTGGATGATTTTGATTGAATGAGATGATTTCTACGAAGTGCCTAGTAATGCACATAGCAGTTGTAAGATGTCTCCCGGGTGGGAAGAGCTCCTTTCTGGCCGCCCAAGACCAGCACTGTGCCAACTCAGCGTGTGCCTTCTGAACCTGCCCCCAGAGTCCATCTGAACTGAACTTCTCATATGCAGGGTGCCCAGCCCTTTGTCCCTCCTAACTGTTCTTCCCAAGGTCCAAGTACTCAGCTAATGGGGGTGTGTGCAGAGAAGCCCAAGAGGCACCAATCGGGGGCCTCCTCTCTCCTTGCAAGGTCTGCATATGGACTTTGAGTGCTCCTGAGTCTGGCTGCATCTCCCAGGCTGCAATTGGACCTCTCCCCCCCACCTTAACATTCTGTACTTACTTTCCCACCCAGAATTCCTAGAGTAGTCTAGTCTTGAATCCATCTGATTTGGTCTAGGATTTCCAGAGCTTCACTAGGGCCTCATGTGCCCAGGAACCTGGGGATCCAGGCTGGAGCCACCCAGCAGATGCTTGGAGTCCTTATAAGGAAATGAGATGTCCTGGCAGGGGTTCTGGAAACCTTGGTTACAAAGTTCATTGGGGATCTGGTCTTTCCAGAGATGAGGAAATCTAGAGCTCAATCAATGTTCCCCAAACCAAACCTACTCCTAAGGACAGATCAGATTTCTGGCCAAGCTTAAGTCAGTCTGAGAGCCCTGGACATGATGAAAACGCAGGATGAGGTGGTAACAAGAGAATCTCTTCTTTGTCAAAACATTTTATTAAGTGTTACATTAAATCGAACTATTAAATTCTCAAACATTCAGAAAACTTGAAGGAATTTTGCCGTGGGTACTCAGATACCTCCACTGGGCTCTACCCTCAATGTTTTCTTTTATTTGCCTTACTGCGCACCTCTCCACCTCTCTAGCCATCCACCAGTCCCTCTTATTTTTAAAAGATGCTCCTTTTTGCTCTATTCATTTCTATGATTCACAGCAACCTGTTTTCATTTCATCTTTGCCATATCCCTTGAGGAAGATGACACAAGTGTGAAGATTTCCATCTTATTGATGAGTAAACTGTAGGGATGGAGAAGAAATTTCCCCCTACCCCGCTAGGTTCTTCTCAAGCTGCTCAAACAACCAAATTAACATCAGACAAATTAGTAGGAGAAAAGAACAAATATAATTATGTATATTTGGGGAATGCACATATGAAAATGGGCATATATGTCTTGTGTTAAAGAATAGGGTCAGGACCCAGAGCTTTAAGGAGAGAGCAGAAGACTCACGTGATGAGAGGTGAGTCATATAATAAAGATGAGACATAGTCATATGACAAGATTAGATGTAATTAGATGTTTGCTCTGCCATAGAGAGAGGTTTCCTTGTCAGAAAATATGTTTCTGGTTAAAAAATAAAGCAACATAATCTGGGGTAAGATCCCCAATTTTCATTCTTCTATATAGGTAAGGACGTGGTAAAAGTTTCTTCTTCAGAGTCTCAATTGAGCTCAACTCAAAATAATCCACCTGCCAAAGTGACATGTTGAGAGACCTGTTCTGCACATCTCGCTCAGGCTCGTCCTTCAAAATTGATCCTTAGAGAAATTCAAAAATTCTAGCGTTACTAATTCCCCTCTAACGGACACCTAGAAGTTCTATTTTATTTGATCATTGCTATTTTGTGGGAGAGGGTTTTGTAAGTGAATGAATGAGTGAATGAATGAATGACTTTGTTAGACAAGAAACCTCAAGACAGGAGGGCGGGATCTCGTTTCATTTCTCAGCATCTGACATTCTCAATACACATCTATTGAATGGGCAAATGAGCGACTGAAGGCTGTCATGAAGAGTGCGGCTGCTTTTCCATCTCTCTCTGTATCTGCAGGACCTGGAGCCTCTGGAGAGGACTCAGCTCAAAGACTGAAAGTGGCAGGAACGCCAGGGGGTTCGGTAACTTTCCGCCTCAACATCTCGGTGGACACACAGATTGAGAATGTTGTCTGGAATGGTCCTCATAGTAGTCTTTGTTTAGCCTCATCAAAAGGAGATGTTAACCTCATGGACAAAATCTACGAGGGCCGATAAATATCCTCCGCCCTGGCTATTCTTTGTCTCTCTACAACCTGACCCTGAAAGATGCAGGATCCTACAAAGCCCAGATAAACCGAAATGGTTCTAAAGTCACCACTTATGAAGAATTTACCCTAGGTATCTACGGTGAGTTCTGCTGTGAATTTTGATCTTATATTCTTAAAAGTAATTTTTTTTTCTCTCCAGGAATTTTTCTCTCTAGGATAATAGGATTAGCACTTTGGTAATTTTTACCCAACCCCATAATATACAGAAGTTAAGTGGAAAGCATAACCCAATGCAATTGAATCATTTGTATTCTTTTCAACAACTCTCTGTAGATATACTTGACCCATCACAATTAGTCTGTTGGGATTACCACAGATGGGGGACTTAAAGAACAGAAATTGTGCCTCCCTGGTGGCCTAGGGATTAAGTCTCAGCACTGTCACCACTATCGCCTGTGTTCGATCCTCCCCAGGGAGCTACCCACATGGCAGAGCAGACCTCTCCTGTCTCGCCCACTGCTCCCCTCAGCAGTGAATTTCAGCGAATCCACCCATTCTGCTCCCCACTCTGTCTCTGGTGATTGCTCTCACTCCCTGCACCTCTGGCCTACACCTCAGTTCTAAAAAAAACAAAAAACAACCAGAAATTTATTTTCTCACAGTTCTAGAGACTACAAGTCCAAGATCGAAATGTCATCAGGTTTGGTTCCTTCAGAGACTTCTCTCCCTCACTTGCAGATAGCCACCTCCTCATTATGTCCTCATTCAGGGCCCTCTGTACTCTGTCCTAACTTCCTCTCCTTTTTTGGCCTCTTTTCTTGTTTTGTGTGTGTGTGTGTTTGTTGTTTGTTTTATTTTATATATTTTTTATATCATTCTTCATTTTTGTACAATGTATGCTTTCTCATCTCGGGTATAGTCCCCATGGAATTCCTACCACCCATCACTGGTGTACCATCACCATATTCCTTTGTGCTCTTCCCACTCCTGTTTTGATCCTACTCCCTCCTTCCCTCCTGGATAATGTCTCTGGTTTATAGATGCCTGTTGATTTTGATTTTTACTTTTTATAATTACTTTTTTTTCCCTGATCCCTTATTTGGATCCTTCACATTCCTCCTAAAAGTGAAACCATCTGGTATTTTTCTTTTTCTTTCTGGCTTGTTTCACTGAGCATGATCCCTTCCAGCTCCATCCATGTTGCTGCTAATGGCATGAGTTTATCATTTTTGATTGCTGAGTAATATTCCATTGTGTATATGTACCACATCTTCTTGATCCAGTCATCTATTTTTGGGCATTTGGGTGTTTCCATAGCTTAGCTATTGTAAATAGTGCTGCTATAAACATAGGGGTGCAGATGTCCTTTTGAATTAATATTTTTGTGTCCTCTGGGTAGATACCTAGGAGTGGAATTGCTGGATTATATGGAAGCTCCATCTTTAGCAGATTGAGGAATCTCCACACAGCTATCCATAGTGGTTGGATCAGTTTGCATCCCACCAGCAGTGTAGGAGAGTTCCTCACCAACAATTGTTGTTGCTAGTTACTTTAATATATGCCATGCTCACTGGTGTGAGATGGTATCTCACTGTGGTTTTGATTTGCATTTCTCTGATTACAAGTGATATTGAACATTTCTTCATATGCCTGTTGGCCAATCGCATTTCCTCTTCAGAGAATTGTCCTTTTTGCTCCTCTGCCCATTTTTTGGCTGCATTGTTTACTTTATTTTTGTTGAGTCTCAGTTCTTTGTAGATCTTTGTGATCAGTCCTTTTTTCTCGCAATCAGTGGGGTGTCTCTTTGTTTTGCTAAACTCCTCTTCTTGTAAGGACATAAGGACACCAGTCTTGATGGATAGGGACCACCCTAATAATCCTATTTTAACTTTATTACTTCCATCTCTATAGTTTTGTCTCTAAAGTAATAACATTCTGAAGTTTGGGGGATTAGGACTTAACACATGAACTTTGAAGAGGACACTATTCAGCCTCAACACCATCTCCCTATCAGGTAGCTTGGCATTTTTTATTGATTTGCAGTTGCCTATATACACTAGGGAAATGGAGTTCTAGACAGCTGATAGAAATAGCTAAATATGCAATGACAAACAAGACAGTGTATGTGATATCATGTGTGTCTAATCTCTGGAAAGATCAATAAGAAACTCATAACAGTCCTCGCCTCCAGAAATGGTGCTTCATAGGGAGAAGAAACAGGTGTTTGGGAACAAGAAATCTTGTGTTGTTGTTGCTTCTCATTGTGTACACTAATGTATTTTTAGTTCCAACCTTACCTATTCACACACACACACACACACACACACACACACTGAACAGAGGAATTGGAACACAAAGGAAAGAAGGGTTCACAAAGAAGATCTGAATCCTAAATTTAGACTAAAAACCAAGGACAAACCAAATTTTAGAGGCAGAGCTCCCACTCCCCAGGGACTGATTCATTCATCCATTATTCACCACTCCTGAGTGCCAGGCAGATGATAGATGTTAAGACACAGGCCTCAACACTACCCCGAGGAGTTCAATGACCAGTGGGGAAGATAGAAGAAATCAGGCCATTGTCATGGTGACTCATGGGGATAACTCCTGTAGGGGCTACTATAGATGCACAGAGAAAAGGCACCTCGTCTGCATGGGGCTAAGAGCCAATGCCCCCGGAACAGGTGACGCTGATTCTTCTTCCTGCTCCCAGCTCCTCTGCCATCGCCACCTTCTTTGGGCCTTTCCCTGTTGGGACAGGCTCTGGGAAGTCTCCCCATTGATATTTTTCTCTACAGAGCAGCTACAGAAGCCCCAAGTCACTCTAAAGTCTGTGGCTGAGTCTGAGAACGCCTCATGTACCATCACCTTGATCTGCTCTGTGCAAGGGGAAGGGAAAGACATTGACTACAGCTGGGCCCTCGAGGGCCACAATGATTCTGAATCCTCCATGAGCTCCACTCTCACCATCTCCTGGGTACCCTGTGGCCAAGACCTGCATAGGTCCTATACATGCACAGCCCGGAACCCAGTCAGCAAGAGAAACTCCGACCCTGTCTTTGCCCAGCAGTTCTGTACAGGTAGCTGACTCTACTTTGGCCCTTCAGGGGATTACAGACACAGTCTAACCCTCCAAAGTTCGGGCAGGACACAGATAGGGTGGGGTGAGAACAGGTCCCTCATTCTCTATCCTCAGGAGCCTGCGAGAGACTACCAGGAGACTTGGGAACTCCCCGGGCACTGTGAAACTCGGTAGAACAAGGCAGGGGAGAAGGGTATGGTTGAAGAGATCCAGATTGTTCTTCTCTTGATGGGGACTGTCCCCTGCAGTCTTCTCAAAATATTGGAGAGGGCAGACGAGGCCTAGGTATGCCGCAGGCAGATCTAGGTTCATACCCCTTCATAACATGTGGTCAAGGGAGGCCAGAAGGCCTCATGGGAGGGAAGTAGGGTCTGGGCAGGAGGTGCCATGGGGTTCCCGACCCCGTCAAATGAACAGGGTCAAGGGACAGTGCCAGTGACTGGAGTGACCCTGTCTTACCTCTGACTGCAGATGTAGGAGGACCAGTGGAGGAGACAGTGGGACTCCTGGGGGAGTCCACCACCCTGCGCCTGTCACTCCCAGCCAGTCAGGACATAAAGAGAGTTCTCTGGATTTTTAACACATCTATTATCAAGGCATGGGGAGAAATAGCCACAGTCGAACCCGTCACTCAGTCCAAGGTTCCTGACAAGAATGAGGTAAGTGTCTCCGACCAGGACCACTCCCTGGAGATTAAGCGACTGAGGATGGAGAATGCCGGCCGCTATCACGCCTACGTGTGCTCAACGGACTCCAGAGTCACCAGTATGAAGCATGTCACCCTGTTCGTCTATGGTGAGTTCTGAACAGGGCACCCAGCACTAGATAATCCCTGAAAGGTTCTCATCTGATTTCTTCCCCACCCGCCTCTGGCCTTGTGCCTCTCCTCCTACCAAAATGCCTCAGACTGCTAGGACTGCTATTCTGTTCACACCAACCAATTCACAGGAAGAAAAATTACCACCAGCATCCAGGCAAAACCTGCCTGCCAATGCCCTCTTCTGTGGGTTTCCAGTTAGGTTTCAGTGACCAGCTTCCACTACTTCCTCCCGTCCTGCGCTGGGAATCAGGTGGCAACAATAACTCACCAACCTGCATTTTATAGGCATTATCATTTGGAATAAGGGTAGAGCAAGCTATGGTGGAATCAGAGATAAAAGACTTCGGTGTCTAATGACCCTGTGACCTGCCAAGAGAGGGCTGCTCAGCTCCCCCGACTGTGAGGGACAGAAGTCACGTTATTCCTCCCCAGTCCCAGCTCCACCGAAGCTCATCTTGATGGATTGCATGGTTTATGTGAACCAGTTCCTTCATCTATGCATTGAGAAACAGTAAACTGACTTCCCTCGGGTTTGGGGAAAGAGAAGTGGAAGGATCTAAGAACCTACGAAAATTATCACCGCCATTGGTCCTGTCAAAATAGGCAGCTGTTCAGCCTGTCCACATCTCTTGCACACTGTGACGCAAATATGAAATTGCCAACGTTTATCAAGCGCTGACCCTGCATCAGCACTGTGCTCATCTCTCCATCCTCCTTATCTCATGTCAGTAACTAGGTGGATGTTGGATCTCAAAGTGTGAGCTTTATAGGGCCCTCCAAGCACGTGCAAGAGTTATGCTTATTGGTGTTACCAGTTTGCTGGTTCTTTGCAAATGCTCTACAGAATAGCATGGTATCTTTCTTTCTGTCACTTTTCACTAATCCCTTTATTTCACATCTGAGCATCAAAGGTCCAAAGAGGTGATGTGATATGTCTGAAATTTCATAGGTACCGAGGGAAAGGCAGGTGCCTTCCAAAATGCCCGTGGCTCCCAGAGGTGCTTTCCCTGGTGCAGTATCAACACACAAGCTCTTGAATCTATTTAGAGTGAGTGAAGGGGTGGTGACTGCCCATGGATGTGGCTCTGAACAGCTCTGCCTTTCTCCTCGCACAGGGAGGCTGAAGAAGCCAAAAGTCACCCATAACCAGACAATCACAGAGAATGGCTCCTGCACAGTCCAGCTGGCGTGCTCAGTGGAGGACAATGCACCCAATGTGACATACCGCTGGACCTCGTCTCTGCAGAAAGGAACTGTCCACGAGGGATCGAACTTCAATGCTTCCTGGAGGCTTGGAGAAAATCACCCCATCTTCAACTGCATAGCCAGCAACCCTGTCAGCAACAGCTCCCAGATGTTTGTTTCTGGGGACATCTGTCCAGGTCACTGTCTCTCTCTGCTCAGTCGGGCCAAGGACCACAGGGCCTTGGATCCATGGGTCTGCATTCTGAGTGGTTCTTTATGGAACTGAGGGAAGGAATGTGGGTGGCGTCCTTTAAGGCAGCACCTTCCAATCAAACATAGTGGAGTGCACACACTTCACTTAACCTCTCTTGGTCCCAGGAGTAAAAGAAAAATAAAGTGAAATTAGTTTTAATAATATATTTTATTTAACCCAAAATATCATCATTTTGACATGCATCCAATACAAAAAAAAATTATTGATGAAATAGTGTATATTTTATTTTGCACTGTCTTTAAAATCCAGTATGTATTTCACACTGACTACAGATACAAAATCATGGGAAGTGCTGGATCTCTATTCAGATTTTATAAAATTTACAAGTGAAAAAATATATTTACATATCCAAGTTATTCCAAACATATTTATCTATCTTTTGATGAGGATTTGCATAGCCATTTTAAAATTAAAAAATTTTTAATTAAATAATTTCTTTCCACATTTCAGAGGCTCATACCTTGAGTCTTGGCTATGGTATTGGGCTGCGTTAGGGGTTTGGGGAGCAGAGTGGATGGGAAGATGACATGGGAAGGGGTGCAGCCACAGGGGTGCAGCCACCACAGCTGGGGACACTTACTAAGGAGGGCTGGGGACACTTACTAAATGCCAGACTCGATGCAAGAATGCAATCATGACACAATCCATCTTTACAATAACTCTGTGCAGCAGATTCTTAATATGAGGAGAATGAAACAGACTCACAAAGGAGAAGGGACTTGCCCAAAGTCATACAACCAAAGCAGGTTGGAACCCTGTGTTCTGCTCTTCTTCTGAAGGAAGTAGAGAAATAGGAAGGTCTTCCCAGGATGTGGCAATGCTAGGTCAGGCTGTGACTGGCAGATGGGTTTAGAGCTGTGTATAGTAGAAATCTGTAATCTTTCTATCTGGAGCCCAGAATTCCCCTGGTACCATTTGCAGAGAGGAGTGTAGGGTGATGGATAAGGCATTTCAGGACCAGGCAGCCTGCATTAATATCCCAGCTCGTGCACTTTATTTATTTATTTTTTTGGCAAATTTCCCTCAATTTTTTTAATATTTTATTTTATATAATTCTTAAATCATTTTTCATCTTTGTACAATGTATGCATTTTCATTTTGGTTATATTCCCCATACAATTGCAACCCCCTTATTTTGACTAAAATCCCTCCTCTTCCCCATCGTAGTGTGTCTCTGGTTTATAGTTGCTTGTTGATTTGATTTTTGCTTTGTATTGATTAGTCTTTTTCCTGGTCTCTTATTTAGGTTTTCTAAATTCCTGCCATGAGTGAGACCATCCGGTATTTTTCTTTTTCTTTCTGACTTATTTTGCTGCCAGATCATGCACTTTAAACTGTGACACTGAGCAAGCCATGAACCTCTCTACCCAGGGATGGTGCCTACCTGATGTTCTGCTCTATCTTCTTGCTGAGAACAAGACCTGGCCCATAAGAGTTGCAGAATAAGTGAATGAAAGGAAATATTTTCTACAATAGCCTGGGAGGCAGGGAGGAACACCATTATGTTCTGTCCATTATTTGCACCAGTGACCCTTATCGTTATGTATATTAACACCACTCATTTCCTCTTCACAGGACCTGGGACAAGCAGGAACTTTTTGATCATACTCCCAGTGATGGTTTCCATCCTTATCTGCATTGGGATACTTGGATGGTGCACTTGGAGGAAAAAAAAAAAGTGTGCGTTTCTGAGATCAATGGCATCTGTCAGCACTGGGCTACTTCCCTGGGGCCTTTGATGACTTCTCTGTCCTCTCCTCCTCCCTTCCCATCCTTTCTTTCCCAAGCTCTCATCTCTTCTCAAGTGATGTGGGGAGGCTGTGGTTTGGAACTTTGCTGCAGATCATTGAAATGCAGCTCAAACTAGCTTAGGTAAAAGTAGGATAGGGGTACACAGGAAGTGATGTGTTACTTGGGACTCATACAACCAATCTTTGGGGAAGGCAGGGTAGGAGATGGCATTAGAGACAAATGTGGCCAGAGCACTCATTTCTTCTCCCTGCTTGTTCCTTTGAGCCACCAGACAAAGGGCAGGGCCAGGGGCATGGAGCGTGACAGCACAGCAGCTGGTAGCTCCACACTCACACTTGCCAGTAGCATCGACACCAGGAACAGAAGGAAAAATATTTCCCTCCAATTCCAATTTAAACAATCTCAGCAATATCTCTGATTGGTGCAGCTTTGGGTCATGTGACCATTGCTTGGTCCAGTCATTGTGGCCAAGTGGGTGAGCTATTTTGATGGGCAGCTCCCTCAGAATCTCAGAATGGCAAAGGGAAGAGGGCCCGGCAAGAGTAGGTGGGTTAGAGCACATGCTGCGGCTCTGGAAGAAGCTCTGGAAGTCAGCAATCCGCTCCAGAGTGCTCCCCCAGCTGAAGATGGCCCTGGACTCTGGTCACCTTCTCCCACAGCATGTGCCACAATGGGGTTCACCCTTCCCTAAAGGCTTTGTCCTGCCCACTTCCTGGAAATCTCCCCTTCTCCTTTGACTCTCACTCAATCAGAAACCTCTCTCTACCTTGGTCTACTGATAAACCTTCTCTAACTTGGTTTTCAGGTTCAGCCTCAGTCTCCGCCCTCAGCCAAGAGAGGACTTCAGCTGTCCCATCAGGTAAAGTCACCAATGACTCAGGCTCTGGGTCCCTAAGCCATATGGAAGCTGCCACTCAATGTGTGGTCAGCCGACCAGCAACGTGGCATCACCCAGAAGCTTGTTGGAAATGCAAATCTGGAGTGATACCCCAGAATTTTTTCCGACGTGCATTTTAACAAGATCCATAGTGAATCACATTCCCGTTAGAGTTTGAGGAGTGATATGCTAAAGGGAGGCAGTTTGGGAAACAAAAGCCACAATCAGGATGGATCACAGAAAGGTCACCTGAGCCAGGAAGGGCCACCTGCCCTCTGGGGTCTGCAGGCCTCCAGAGACATTGAACATCATCACCCACTGTGGCCACGCAGAGGGTGGAGCTATTTTGTCTAACTAAAGTAGAGGGGGCAAAGCCAGATGGAATAAGTTTGTGGCAAGAGACATATCAGAGTCTAATTAAAATCAAAACCCATGAACCCGTCCAGACACCTGTTACCCATGAGCACACCTGGGACAACAGCTTTCAAACCTTTGAAAAAACTAAGGATTGCCTTCTTTAAATAAATTATATAGCTCAAAATCCATGAAAGTGGAACAGTCCTGAGGGTTGCGGCAGGAGGCCCAGGTCCCTGCTCCTTCCTCTCCCACTCCCTCGCCTCAGGGTGCCAAGCCTGAACTCTGGAACTCTGAGTTCCACAGAATCCCCAAACTCTGACCTCTCAGACAAATCTTGCTTTAAATCTGTATTATTTTCAGGGAGGGCATCCCCCAGGAGAAGGACTAGGAAGTGGGTCTGGAATCAATGCTGCATAGTATGTTCCAGACTCACCACTGACCACTTACTCCCATGCTCTCCCAAGCATATGAGAACATGGATATTCCTTCGATGGCCACCGGGTATCAGCAAATGCCCCCCACAGTGAGCACCTCCTTCAGCGATAGCACCTCTGATGAGGATGAGGAGAGGACAGAGATGCAATTGTCTGTCCATGGCAAAGACGAGGCATGTGTGCAGTTCACTTCAGAGGACTCTGCACTGCACTCGGCCTCTGAGAGGAAAGCAGAGTATCACCTGGTCATTCCAGGTGGCACGGCACCTGCATCTGTGGTCAACGGGGGCACTCTGTATGCTCACTTGTTACACAACTCAAAGGTGAGATATTTTGATCCACACCCTCCCACCCTCTCACTTCTTGCACATTTATGTCCTGGGTGACTAGTCCCTCCAAACTAGGGGGAGATGCTGGGGGACAGAAACAGTATCGTAGGGCAGAGAATCATGGCTCCATCCATGTTTACCAAACCTGGGGTCTCTGGAGTGAAGGAACTCCTCCCTAAGCTCCCACTCTTGGGCCATTAATGAGTGGGTGTTGGGGGAAAGAGGTACACTCCCCAAAGCTCTAAGGCAACTCCCACCTCCTATGTGAGTCTGGAACCCAATGGGATGTCCCCCAGGAGTGACAGGAAATGCTGGAAAGTTCTGGTTTGATGATTAAGGAAAGTCTGCTCTCCATCTGTTACAGGGAATGGACCCAATTCCTCAGAAGGATGACAATTCAGCCACAATCTACAGCTCTGTGCAGCGTTCTCAAAAGGTGAGAACTATTTTCTGTGCATCCCAAGACCCATAAAGCCAGGAAAAAATGCTCAGACCATTTTAACTGAACTCCAAATTCCTAGGGCTGAGGAGCTGATTTCTACCTACTCCTGTGTACTCCTGTATATATATATGGAGGAGATATGTATCCTCCTGCATTTCTTTTTCACATGTCTCTCTGCTCCATATGCCTCCTCCAGCCTTTTCTTCAACTCCTTCCTCTCATTTTTTCCTCTCTCTTATATATAAAGTGATAGATATATAGAGAGAGATATAGCTATATCACCTAATGAGGAGGATTAGGTCCTAATCCACCAAAATAGCTAATCCCCTAAAACAATCAGCTGATTGTGTAGCTGACAGTCTAATGTCAAGGTATTTAGGAAAATGTGTTATTAACTGCAACATATTGTTTTATTACAGTACTAAAAAAATCCCTTAAGGGTAGACTTTATCATTAGATAATATCAATAAATTTTATATAAAGTTTTACAATTTATAAAACATTCACAAATATTCTCATCTGATCCTTATAATGTTTTTTTCTTTCTTTTCTTTTATATATTTTTACATCATTTTTCATTTTTGCATAATGTATGCATTTTCGTCTTGGTTATTGCCCCCATACAATTCCCACCACCCTTATTTTGATCTTAATCTCTCCTCTTCCTCCCCCAACCCCCAACAGTGTGTCTCTGATATATAGTTGCTTATTGGTTTTGATTTTTACTTTATTATAATTAGTCTTTTTCCTGGTCCCTTATTTAGGTTTTCTAGATTCCTGCTATGAGTGAGACCATCTGGTATTTTTCTTTTTCTTTCTGGCTTGATCCTTTCCAGCTCCATCCATGTTGCTGCAAATGGCATGAGTTTATCTTTTTTGATTGCTGAATAAAATTCCATTGTGTATATGTACCACATCTTCTTGATCCAGTCATCTATTTTTGGGCATTTGTGTTGTTTCCATAGCTTAGCTATTGTAAATAGTGCTGGAATAAGCATAGGGGTGCAGGTGCCCTTTGGAATTAATGTTTCTGTGTCCTTTGGTAAATACCTAGGAGTGGAATTGCTGGGTCATATGAAAGCTCCATCTTCAGCAGGTTGAGGAAAGTTAACAGTCAGAATGTGGGGCATCCCAAGACCCTCTAAACTTCCTGTTCTAAAAGGGTTTTCTATTGACCACATAAAGACAAAAATTACACTAGGTGTGTAAGATTTCCTTTTTTTTTTTTCTTCTTTTTTTTTAATGGCAAAGTTCAAGTTTATGTTTAATATACATTCTTTTTTTAAATAAATTTTATTTTTATATTCCCCATACAATTGCAACCCCCCCATTCTGACCCCAATCCCTCCCCTCCCACCACCCACACCCCCAAAAGGGTCTCTGGTTCATAGTTTTTTGTTGATTTTGATTTTCACTTTCTTATAGTTATTCATTTTCCTGGTCCCTTATTTAAGTTCTCTAGATTCCTGCTATGAGTGAGACCATCCGGTATTTTTCTTTTTCTTTCTGGCTTATTTCGCTGACCATGATCCCTTCCAGTGCCATCCATGTTGCTGCAAATTGCATGTGTTTATCTTTTTTGAATGCTGAGTAATATTCCATGGTATATATGTACCACATCTTCTTGATCCAGTCATCTATTTTTGGGCATTTGGGTTGTTTCCAAAGCTTAGCTATTGTAAACAGTGCTGCTATAAACATAGGGGTGCAGGTGCTCTTTGGAATTGATGTTTCTGTGTCCTTTGGGTAAATACCTAGGAGTGGAATTGCTGGATCATATGGAAGCTCTATGTTTAGTAGGTCCAGAAATCTCTACACAGCTCTCCATAGTGGTTGGACCAGTTTGCACTCCCACCAACAGTGCAGAAGAGTTCCTTTTTCTCCACACCCTCGCCAACATTTGTTGTTGCTAGTTTTTTTTAATATGTGCCATTCTCACTGGTGTAAGATGGTATCTCATGGTAGTTTTGATTTGCATTTCCCTGATTACAAATGATGTTGAACATTTTTTCATATGCCTGTTGGCCATTTGCATTTCCTCTTCAGAGAAGTTTCTTTTTAGCTCTTCTGCCCATTTTTTGACTGGATTATTTTCTTTGTTGTTGTTGAGTCTCATCAGCTCTTTGCGGATTTTTGTGATCAGTCCTTTATCATTAGTGTTGGGTGCAAAAATGTTCTCCCAGTTGGTGGGGTTTCTCTTTGTTTTGGTTATTGTCTCTTTTGCTGTGCAGAAGCTCTTTAATTTGATGTAGTCCCAGCTGTTGATTTTTGCCTTCACTATCACTGCTTTGGGTGATGTGTCTGTAAAGATGTCTTTGATGTGAATATCACGTAGTGTTTCGCCTATAATTCCTTCTATGTATTTTATGGTTTCAGGTCTTATGTCTAGTTCTTTAATCCATTTTGAGTTGATTTTTGTGTATGGTGTGAGGTAGTGGTCAAGCTTCATTCTTTTGCATGTAGCGACCCAGTTTTCCCAGCACCATTTATTGAACAAACTTTCTTTGCTCCAATGCATATTCTTTGCTCCTTTGTCAAAGATTAGTTGACCATAAATCTGTGGGGATATTTCTGGATTTTCTATTCAATTCCATTGGTCTGTATGTCTGTTCTTGTTCCAATACCATGCTGTTTTGATGATTATGGCTTTGTAGTATAGTTTGAAGTCTGGGAGTGTGATGCCTCCATTCCCTTCTTTTTTTTTCAGGAGAGCTTTGGCTATTCGGGGTTTTTTGTGATTCCATATGAATTTCATCAATCATTGTTCTATTTCTTTGAAGAATGACATTGAAATTTTTATTGGAATAGCATTGAATCTGTATATTGCTTTTGGTAGGATGGCCATTTTAATAATGTTTATTCTTCCAATCCGTGAGCAGGGGATGTCTTTCCATTTCTTTGTGTCTTCTTCTATTTCTTTTAACAGTGTTTTATAGTTTTCTTTGTATAGGTCCTTTACCTCTTTTGTTAGATTTATTCCCAAATATTTGATATTTTTTGTTTCAATAATAAAAGGGATGGTTTTTTTGATTTCTTCTTCTTCAGATTTATTGTTTGTGTATAGGAAGGCTACTGACTTTTGCGTGTTGATTTTGTATCCTGCCACTTTACTGAACTGATTGATGAGTTGAATTAGTTTTTCTGTGGAGTTTTTGGGGTTCTCTATGTATATTATCATATCATCTGCAAATAGTGATAGTTTGACTTCTTCTTTTCCTATTTGGATTCCTTGTATGTCTTTCTCTTGTCTTATTGCTCTGGCTAGGACTTCCAGTATTATATTGAAAAGCAGTGGTGAGTGGACATCCTTGTCTTGTTCCAGATCTTAATGGAATTGCTTTCAGCTTTTCACCATTGAGAATGATACTGGCTGTTGGCTTGTCATATATGGCCTTTATGATGTTGAGGTATGTTCTTTGTATCCCAAGAATTTCAAGGGCTTTTATCATGAATGGGTGTTGCACTTTGTTGAAAGCTTTCTCAGCATCTATTGATATTATCATATGGTTTTTATATTTCTTTTTGTTGATGTGTTGGATAACGTTGATTGATTTTCGGATGTTAAACCATCCTTGTATCCCTGGCATGAATCCTACTTGGTCGTGGTGAATTATCTTATGGATACATTGTTGGATTCTGATAGCTAAAATTTTATTGAGGATTTTTGCATCAGTGTTCATTAGGGAGATTGGCCTGTAGTTTTCCTTTTTTGTGTTGTCCTTGTTCGGTTTTGGTATTAGTGTAATGTTGGCTTCATAGAACGTGTTTGGTATTGTCCCTTCCTTCTCAATTTTTTGGAAGAGTTTGTGAAGGACAGGCACTAATTCGTCTCTGAATGTTTGGTAGAATTCATTTGTAAATCCATCAGGTCCTGGGCTTTTGTTTTTGGGGAGGTTTTTGATTACCATTTCAATTTCGCTGCTTGTAATTGGTCTGTTTAGGTGTTCTATTTCTTCTTTATCTAGCTTTGGGTGATTGTAGAGTTGTAGGAATTTGTCCATCTCCTCTAGATTGTTGAACTTGTTTCCATATAACTGTTCATAGTAGTTACTGATTATTCTTTTGATTTCTGCTGTGTCCGTTGTGATTTCTCCTCTTTCATTGATGATCCTGTTTATTTGTGCTTTCTCCCTTTTTTCCTTTGTGAGCCTGGCTAGGGGTTTGTCTATTTTATTGATTTTTTCAAAGAACCAGCTCTTGGTTTCATTGATCTTTTGGATTGTTTTTTTAGTTTCGATTTCATTTATTTCTGCTTTGGTTTTTATTATTTCTTTTCTTCTACTGGTTTTGGGTTTTTTTTGTTGTTCTTTTTCTAGATCTTTGAGCTTCGAGATTAGGTTATTTCTTTGAGTTCTTTCTTGTTTCTTGATGTGAGCTTCTATTGCTATATATTTTCCTCTTATTACTGCTTTTGCTGCATCCCATACATTTAGGATATTGGTGTCCTCCTTGTCATTCAATTCAAAGAATTTTTTAATTTCTTCTTTGATCTCCTCGTTAGTCCAGTGGTCTTCCAGTAGTGTGGTTTTTAATCTCCATGAGGTAGGAAAGTTCCTTGCCTTCTTTTTTATGGTTTATTTCTAGTTTGATGCCTTCATGGTCAGGAAAGATGGTTGGTATGATTTCAGTCTTGGTGTATTTGTTGATATTTGTCTTGTGCCCCAGTATGTGATAGATCCTGGAGAATGATCCGTGTGCGCTTGAGAAAAATGTGTACTCCGTTTTTTTGGGCTTTAGTGTTCTATAGATATCTGTTAAGCCCAAATGCTCTAGGTCCTTATTTAGAGCTTTAGTTTCTTTACTTATTTTTTGTCTTGTTGATCTATCCATTGTTGATAGTGGTGTGTTGAAGTCTCCCACTACGTATGTGTTTTCTCTGATGTCTGTTTTCAGAGAGGACAACAGTTGTCTGATATATTTTGGTCCTCCTTCGTTTGGTGAGTATATATTAATGAGTGTTATTTCTTCTTGAAGTATTGTCCCCTTGATCATAA